GAATCACCTGTGATGAAAAGTGGAGTCTCTACGATAATCGAAAGCGCTCATTGCAATGGTTGAACCCTGGCATGCCAGTCAAATCCTGCCCCAAGCGAAAATTGACCCCAAAAACGTTACTTGTAATCGTTTGGTGGACTAGTGCCAGTGTCGTTTATGACAGTTTTCTAAAATCTGGCTATACGATTACGGCAGACGTCTATTGTCAGCAATTGCAAACCGTGCTGGAAAAACTAGCTGTTAAACAACCAAGGCTGGTCAATCGCTCTACGCCACTGCTACTTGATGACAACGCTAGACCACACACTGCACAACAGACGGCTACCAAATTAGAAGAGCTTCAATTTATTATTTTTCGATATTTGGATAACTTCTTGCAAGGTAAAAAATTCAATTCTGATGGGGCAGTGCAAATCGCCTTCAAAGATTTTATTGATTCCCGTCCGAATGGTTTTTTTATTAAGGGGATCAATGAACTACCTATGAGATGACAAAAGTGCATCGATAACAATGGTTTAAACTTTGATTAAATAAATATATTATATTAAAAAATATTTGACTTTTTGTTCCACCCATATCAAACACCAATTTCATATACCAACCAATTTTCTAATATATCTGTTTTGCTACTGGACAAAAATTCCAATCTATATCTAAATACCGAATAACTTTACATTGTAGTGATAATTTAAAAAGGAAAGTTGCTCTCTCTGAAATCACAAGGCTATATAAAATATCTTAGCACAATCACATAGAATTACAGTAGAATAAGGAAACTTTAAAGGGTATGTAATACAATTTTGAACCGACTATATGTGCCAATTATAACTATCATAATACTTATGTTTAAAGAACGAATCATATTACCTTTTTTTAGTTAATTCTAACCTGAGCACACACCTTCCCTTTGCAATTATTTTAGATTTTTTTTCAAACGACAACGAAAATGCATTCGTATTTAATTGTTCCAGATCATAGCAGAAAAACAAGCTCGCAGCTACAATTTTCCATAATTCACAATAAATAAATCACTATGTAATTAGATTGATTTATGATTTTACAAAAGGAAAGTAATCAAAACAAAATGGCCTTAATTTTTTTTAAACGATACATCGACCAAATTAAATAGTTCCTTTACGCAAACGCTATTCTTTTAATGACTTTTTAATTTAATCAGCACGCGTAGCATGACGAACTCGAGAACGTTTTGTCTACATTCAAATGTCACTTTTCCCGGGTACGCCCATAACCCCATATCTCACGTTCGACTCGAGAAACTGACAAATGAGTGTAGGCAAACCGTTTCTCGAGTTTGTCATGCTATCTATGCAGGTTGCGATAAGCAGTGCCTTTAAAAACCGTAACACATGCATGAATTTCACACACACATAAAAATATTTTCTGCATGCAACACAAGTTTTGACCTTTCGTGTTTTATGCCGAATAAGTTGTAAAAAGTGGTTGAAAATATTCATTCTGCTAACTAGAACGTTATAGTAGTTCTGGCTAATTTTGGTAGATGGCACTTTTACTAGTTTAATCAAATCATGGTCATGAGTCTCTGTTAATGCTCTTATCGAATTAATGTAGGCATATGAAAGTAAGAATTAAATAATGTAGGTTTAGTTGGATTTTTATGGGTAGGGTATTCAGTGCACGCCACTGATCACTTGGGTTCAGTGCGTATTGGAGGGTGTCAACGACTACAGATGCAGGCGGGACCAACGTGCCTTCCAAAGCATGGAGGACTTTACATAATTATTTTTGGTCACCCATCCTATAAGTGGCCATTTAGAAAGATGCTTAACCTCCACATCGCAGTCCGAGCGCGAATAAAAATGAAATTCTGTATTTGATTCAAAAAATTAAACAGTGTTTAAAATTAAAAAATTAAAAGTGCTTTGTCCTTATTCTCAAAGTTAGATTAGAATGACGCTAACAGAGCGATATGTAACTAAATAACGATTATTATTTTATTTGTTAGTAAGAGTTATTAATGTTTTAAACGATAAAAGCACTTGAACACTTAGCAATAAAGTTGAAAGCGATAGTAAAGCTAATGTATTTTAATCTCGTTATTCTCTCGCAATGACCCAGACTAAGTGACCCGTTTTCACGAAACTTTTGCCAATTCTGATTGTTACTTCTATTTTGTTAATTACAATAGTAATTGACATGTATGTCTGTCTTCTTTTATATTTTCTTTTAAACTTAGTACCAATCCAAATATGGACCAAAACAAGAAATAAATTTGACTAATAAACAATTGACGAAAAACGTCAAAGCACATGAACACTTGCAAAATTCCTTATTTTTTAAACCAACTGTTTTCCTCCTTGTTTCCTTCAATCTATAAGTGTAGAAAGACAGACGGAGAGTGAAGTCTTGGTTTTCGTTTTTACCATTTTAGGTTCTATCCTAAAAACGAATTAGTTCAACTCGTATCTGACCGGTTATTTTAAGACTAGGGCACACATTTCCATAATATCTATCTTCGGATCATGTTGTTCAAATAAAAATCTCTCGTCATTTTTCTTCAAAAATCTTTAGCGATAACCAAGTTCACTACAAACGGTGAACTGCGTGGCGTGTTACACAAAGAAATTGCCTTATTACGAGACTAGCTGCGTTCTTAAAAACTTTTATTTTTTATACCGACTATAAACGGTAGCTTAGGCAGCCTATACACTAAATACGACGACCGCCCGTTCGCATCAGTTTTATTACGTCGCCATCTCTGAGGTTCAGGGTTCGATTCCTGGTCAATGTAAAAAAATATCTTTTCTGTATTATCTCGAGACTGGGTGTTATGCTTAATTCATTATGTCAGATACTTTATAATACGGGGACTTTAACTACACGTCATGCAGTCTGAGAAATGTATGTGATGTTATTTATTCGTTATTTATTAAATATACATGAATATCCTTTCTTTATACACTCTGAATGTTCATAATTACTAACTTAATAATATTTATTAATAGTTATTTATAGAAAGCTGCCACATACCTGCAGTATTTTTATTGGGTACCCGTCATTTCGGCGCTGTTACAAGCTCCATGAAGTGTTAAAAACAGAAAAGCTTCCGCACTGCAATTCGTGTTAACACTTAAATGTTAACACATTATTTAAAAGTTTATTATTTGTTATTCTTATGTTTATATATATATGATTCGTTTCGAAATGCCCTGTGTAATCAAAAGGCTGATGATACTTTACTTTTCATTAATTAATTTTCAATTTAGGGATTTCCAAACTTTCTTGTGCTGAGAATACACGGACTATCTCAGACTATAAATAGTATTTTCATGCCTCCTCTTACTTCAAAACACAAAAATAATAATCTTCATATTTACACATGACAGAATAAGAGAATTAAATATTGTAATCAACAATTAAAGTTTCTTTTTTCTAAAATACGTTTTCCAGTCCGCAGCATATTTTCGATCTCCTGATTTAATTCTATTTGTCAATCCTTTTTTCAAAGATTTTTCATACGTTTTGCACAAATTTAGTAACCGTTATTTATTATTTTAATTTACCTGTAAATTATATACCCATAAATTAATAGCATTCTAATCGCAATCGTTCGGCCGGCCTAAACCAACAACAAAGGGCGTTTGCGTTGCCATAATGACCGTCGCCCAAGATTTAGATAAGCAGTTTAAATAGTTAATTCGTTACCGAACGGTCAAATCGAGCATAACTCGCTTCAGATTTTAGGAGTATAACTTAAACTGTCCGAGTTAATTAAAACTAATTTCGGAAGTCATTTTGGGGTGATTAGTGTAACTAGATCAATAAGATTCAATAATTTGTGTGTATTTTAGAAGATACATAAATAATCACAGAAATCCTTGGTTGAACCTCTTAAGAGATTACAGCGCTTATTCGCCGCTATATTTATTACAGAACAGGGGGCCAATTCTACTAAATAAATCTTGTTTAAATCGAATCGAAAACGGATCGACACCGAACGAAACTACAGTTTTTAATGGTTTTTCTATTCTACTAAGTGACATACGATACAATTCCAGCTAAAATAGAACTGGAATTGTATCGTATGTCACTTTGTAAAATAAATATATATCCTCAAGTAACCTTGAGGATATATATTTAGTGTAGATCTCATACTTTGGATATCAGCAAATTGTATGAAATAGTTACGACATCATATAAATCACTAGAAAATTACCTGAATAAGTAAAAAAAAATAATTTCATAACAATGAAGAGTAACATCCAAAACTTCTATTGAAAGTATTTTATACTTGTAGATTTATAACACTTCTTACGAAAATTCACACACGTGTTCAGAAGCCCACATAGAAACTACATAGAACCTTCTTATTTTGTAGTCAATTAAAATTAAATTTAAACTTCAAGAGTGATGTAATTTTTCATAACAGTGTTTATTCTAGAGCCAACTTTCAGATTATTTAACTAAGTTTCTACACTACAAAACCTCAAAACCGACGAAAAATCATTTGTATTTTTGCTTCGTCGCTAATAAATCAAGTGTTTGCACAAGTAACAGACAGTAGTATATCATATCATTTGATTATAAATGTTAGTAACACAGGTAAAATCACTTCATTGTACAAGAACACGCCTTCCAAACGCTTACATTTTGACACATACATGAAAGATCTAATTGTTTCCATTATACAATAATTATTTTACATTAAGGTTTAGACTAGTGGAAATTTGTCAGCCCCAAATGGAAATAGAATTATTTCGTCCGAACCCTTTCGGATATTGAAACGACATTTCTGAATTCGCCGCTATTTGGAGAAGAAGATATAATTAGAAAGGGGTTAATATCCTTTAAAATTATCGGTTTAATTTTAGAATGGCAGAAATATTTATAATGAGATTTTGTAATATAATAAATCTTCTTAGCAGTCGCATTTTAAAATCTTTATTTTAAAAAACAACACATAAATTGTAAAGACTAGAATTAATTATTGCACTTTTTTCTGAAATTAACGTAATAATAACTCACAAATTACTGTCAAAATTACTAATACCTACGTTACCGTCTGTATCTAACAAATGACACTCCTCGAACTCGTTCCGTTTTTCATCAACCTTTTCGTAATTATTTTTACATAAGAAATCGTTGTCACACACAAAATCGTGTCTTCCGTCTTCGATCATACCTTCATCAAAACTAGTGTCTCTAAATCTCTTCTCGGTATCAGTTTGGTAATTCTGATATCTTTCTATATTGAAATCTGGAGAAATGGTCTGTCCTTCGCTAACACTTTTGCCTAGAATATCGTCTGCATCCATTGTTGTCGCTTGCACCACTTCACCTTGTATTTCATTAAAATTAACTCTGCTGCTTTCATTCTTAACATCATATTTCAATTCACTCATATCTATATTATCTCTATTGTCTAAAAGAGGCTTTAAATTCATGAGACTAAAGTTTGGTATCATTCTTGCATCCCATTGCGATTGATGGACAGCTTCTGGTGTTGGTTCTAGATCAAGCTGTACGTCTTCTCCGATCTTTTTGAAAGTGCCGAGGTTGTATTGGAGTGGTATTGAGAATGACGGTAGTTCCATTTGAGGATTCTGTCTGTTCGGTAATGCTGATATATGAATAGCAGGTGCTGGCTGCTTCTTTGTACTGTAACTGTTCTGATTGGATGTATCCGAATGGATGTTAACCATTTGTGTTGATGATACTGAAATAAATATTATGAATTTTAATATATATTCCATTCTTATTTAAGATAACTGTTCATTTGGAATGCCAACAATACATATAATTTTTTTTTATGGGATAGGTGGCAGACGAGCAGACGGATCACCTGATGGTAAGTGATTACCGTCGCCCATGGACACCTGCAACACCAGGGGGGCTACAAGCGTGCTGCTGGCCTTGGAGGGAAGGGTTGAGGGGTAGAGGGAAGGGAATAGGGAGGGGTTGGACCTCCGGCACCCTCACTCACACGACGAAACACAACGCAAGCGTTGCTTCACGTCGGTTTTCTGTGAGGCCGTGGTATCACTCCGGTCGAGCCGGCCCATTCATGCCGAAGCGTGGCTCTCCCACGGTTATTATTAGACTCACAAAATATTTACTAAAGACTCACAAAATATTAATGAAATCAAAACTCAGCAATTTTTAAGAATCGAAATATGTACTTGTGGAAATTAATGGTGAATGTGGACTTTTTTCAACATTATTTCTGATTTCTTTCTCATTTGCTATTTTAGGGATTTATTAACTTTTTTTTATCAATAAATCCCTAAAATAGCTTATCGAGACTACAAAATTTTATGAGCTCTTGTATCTTACCAGGTATAGTGATGAAATCTCTCATTTCGAGCGCCAGAGCTGTGGGTGATCTCTCATCAGGCGACCTGCCTCTGCCAGAGAAAGGCTCACAACCAGACTTCTGTTGTTTACGCCATTTTGCTCGTCGATTTTGGAACCAAACCTGATATAAATATTTATAAGATGGAAGACATTTCGAAACACTTCTATTCAATAAATTATATTCACCTTGGACGAGTGGCTTGGATACATCGTTTTAAAGATACCATCATCTCTGAGATCTCGAGTTAATTTTTCGACATTGGTCTTGCGATTATTTAAAATTAACATTTTAATGTTGTCTTAAGTGTGGGTGTGTTGATTTTCCTGTTTCGGAAATTTTCTCACACAAGTACTTTAGCTACTCTAGACTCTTAGTGGTGAATGTAATGTTGTTTGTTATTTATCTATGTAATTAATCGTGAGCTATACTTTTCCATCGTATTGATGATAGAAAAAACTGGTTATAATTACCAAGCACTGGACCCGTTTGGTAATTATTACAAGTTTTTTCTATTCATAGGCGTTGACGGGAAGTAATTACTAATAACACTTACACTTTCTCTTAAGCGTTCTACATCTCGTTCACTCATATTTATTAAATGAAGATTAAGAAGGTTTAAATTCAATTTATATCTAGAGATATTGAGTGCGTCAGACACACTCTGGCACAGCCAAAATAATATTCTTCTTAAACAGTATTACGTATTTACATCTATAGTAAGACGATCGCACAGGCACGCATGAATGACAACAGACGCTGTAGCTAGTCTTCACAGTTTATATATGTACAGTACCTGGCATCAAAATTAGCATCAAAAGTAATGGCACATCTTGAACACCTACAGGCAAGCTAAAGCTGCACTACCCTGATGCTCTCCTATCCAAGGCCCTTTTACGGCTAAGTAAACCACTAATGCGTCTAGTAACAGGTGTTATCACTGATATCTTTAACAAACACCTTTTTAATCTAGGTGCCCTCTGTAAAGAAGATGCATAAATGTAGAAGAAATAGCCGCTTACGTTCTGCTAGAATGCGACGAAATAGCCAACTATCGGGCAAACTACCAAGTAACCTCCAGGTGGATATCACAGACGTGAAGGCACTGAAGTTTTTCTGAGATGGCAGATGGAATATCCTCAAGCCACATACCCTACTCATGCAAAACATGCGCACTTTTGACGTCGATTTGCGGTGACCCAATCCAAACTGCGCATGAAAAATTGTTTTTTTGTTTCCACACTGAAAATTGATTGTTTGGTGAAACTAAATTAATAAGATATCGTAAATATTTTAAGGTTTCTTAAGAGTATCATGTTTTCATTTCATAAGTTAATTAATTTACATTCTGGCGTTTTCAAATATTCAAGATTTTGCGAACATGTTTATTTTAACGAACTTAATGATCCGTTAAGCAAATTCTAATTAATTTTACCTGCTCCAATATAAAAAAAATTTACTGCTAACAAATTTTTACTGACAATATTTTTAAAAGTTCCCTTGTTAGATTTATAATGGATAAGTTAATCAAATTAATTGATCCAACCCAAAATTAGGTTGATTTTTTTAGCACTCGCTTAATAAAAATCTGAAACACCGAAAGTACCACAAAACCCACACTCGAGAAAATATAGAAAGTTAATTTTCTACATTGATCCGATTGAGAATCGAATCCGAGATCTCAGTAATGGTGATATATTGAAACCGGCGTGCGAGCTACTCAGCTACGAACGAAATTAAGGTTGTGGCATTCCATGTCTTAGTAGTTGGTAGCTCGGCGACCCCGGAAGACAAAAGAGTTTAGCAAAGGCCATTGGATTCGTGTAAAAAAGTACTTATTATAAAGTTGATTATAAGGTATCTGATTATTTAACATCTGGTTTTTTTTTCTAAATTTATATCTCAAAATTATCTTGATGACATGATTCTATTCTTATGTTATCATTATAAAATTATCATTTATTTTCGAGCTGGTGAGTTTTTTGCTTGTTCTTCTTATCAGCCAAAAAACGTTCTGAACGTGTGGTAGATAAAAAGATGTTAGTCGATTCAAAAGTACTTTTAAAAAGCCTATTTGTATAAAGATTATTTTAAAATTGACTGACTAAAAGCTTTATTAAATATGTAGGATCACCTGGACTCTGGCTTCAGTGAGATCTATCCTCATAGCTAACTCCTCCCTGAAGAACACGTCAGGGTAGTGAGTTTTGTGGAATGCCGCCTCCAGTTGTTCCAGCTGGACGTTTGAAAAGGTGGTCCTAGAGATACATGACACAACTAAGTCGAAAGAAAAACCCTTTATATTACTCTGTACAGCCTTATAATAAACCAGATTTCCGCCAGCGGCTTCGCCCACGTGGTCTCTAGGGAACTGTTTATATGGATATTAATTTATACCATAACACGGATATAATTACAATGGAAATGATTACTATGGCAATGTTTTAATTCCCTATACGAACTTCTACTCTCATTTTCGTCCTTTTATTTGCTGTTTTTCGGGATAAAATATAGCTTATATTCACCGCATACGTTGTAGCTTCCCGTAGGTGAAAGAATTTTTAAAATTGGTTTTTAAAATAAAGTTTCGGGGCATATTTGTTGCAAACAAACAAACAATCATAACATTCAAACCTTTCCTCTTAATGAAAATAGTGTATAGAGCCTATATAGCTGTTAGTAAATAGTGTATATAGCCGTTAGAGCCTAAAGGCGTCATTAAATCCTAATGGACGTTTGTGCAACTGACCATTACTCAACTTTACTTTATAAATTTATTTATTTAATTTCAATATTCAACATTGACAAAATTTTAAATAAAAGTAAACACATAAAAATAATAAACCTTATTGAAAGATAGAAGTTACATCTAGTAGGCAAATTAAAAGCTTCTCAAAATAAATTATTGTGAAAATAATTTATTTTAAGATGCTGCCATCTATTGACATCCATAAGCTAGTTAGTATATCAAATAAATATTCTTAAATCCTCGCTAATAATAAAGCTTATATATTTATGAAAGAAATTTAACAACCAGTCCAGTACTTTTTGAATTTATCCATAAAAAACAAAATCCAATCCTTCTTCTTGATAATATTAGCATGTTATATATGATAACAATAACATTAAGAGATAAAAAACAATACATTTACCTGTATCTCCTTTGTTTTCGCTTCGGTAGATCACCTTTTGAATCTGAAAGAAAATAAAAATTGTATGACTACAATTTCGTGTTTTGTTGTATAGGACGCTATAGATAGCTTACCTCACATCGTACAACAATGCAAATACACCCAAAACTAACCCATATTCACTTTCAACGCTGATATACTTTAGACAAAAACATGGGTCCGTTTTTCGCTTGCCCTAGAAATAGACTACACTTGTATTATTACAAGTGGTGACCCACCACGCGGGTATTATCGACTGTGGATGTAGCTTGGACCAACGGTTTGACCGTTAATAATAATTATTAAACTTATAATTTTATTATATTTTATTTTGTCTCTGATGTTGTAGAATTATGATTATTAAATTGCCAGACAACTTATTATATTTTTGACATGAAGTCCTCCTCTCTCTAAGGTGTTGCTGTACCCGACAGGGTCTATAGTTTGATTCTGATATTATTATGTTGTAACAGCTATGTAACACTATAGTTCGCAATAAACATTTGAGTATTGTGTATTAAGATTTGGAAGCACGGAGGTGCTCGAGACAATAAAATTTTGATGACCCCATCCTATAACCCGCCATTGCGAAAGATGCTGAACAATCGTATCGGAGACCGTGCGCGCTAACCACTGCGCGATCGAGCTCCTCAAACATATACCTAATGACTTTGGTTTAGAATTACTTTGGAAGTCAATAAAGGTCAATCAAATCTAATGATACCATGAATTGTAAAGTTTAACTTACTAGATTTCGGTGAGAACTCTTCGTCCTCCTCGTATTGTTGATGTTCAGCTGCTTCCTCCGAAGCCTCCGTGCTTGTAAATGTCTCAGAAGGCTCTGTATCAGAACGTTCGCAGAGTACCGAACCTGGGCCCAATCTAAATGTAAAAAGGAGTAGTTTGTAATATTACGTAGGACTGATACCAGCTGAACTCAAAACTAGAATCAAAGCGATAGCTACTTAAAGTTTTATTAAAAAACGATGGTGAAATATGCCTTATTACTAAGACTCCTCTACCCATTTGGTCATTCGTCTATCACTAGAGTTTATCTCATGAACCGTAGTAGCACACAATTGAAATTATTACAGTTGTATTTCTGTGGCCACTCTAACAACATATACTGAAAGAAATAGAATCAAGTAAAAAAAAGTGTATTTTTCATAAATACTCCAACTTTCACTTGACCGGCTTTTTTGCATAGCAATAGTAGTTTCTCTGTTTGATATTCAAGAAAAATCATATTTCTTATAAAATAACATTGAACTAAATCAACCTTAAGCCTTGGTACCAGAACAATAAACATTTGAATTCGTAGCCATTTATGAATAGAGCTTGTTTTTAGCAAGCTAAAGCTGCAGAATACTAAATTGTTATATGAATATTTTGTGGTATAGTGAACAGCACGTCAGACTATACAAAAATGTCGAATTTCCCCACTTGATTTTAAACCTAAATGCGTTGTAGATAGAGCAGAAAATAAATTTAAAAGATTGGACATATTGTGGTTCTTTGACTTGCATACCTAGCTCTTGGGGTACTTTTAGTAACATGGTATTGTAGATTTTGTAGCACGCTACATCCAAGTATCCTTTATTTGCGCTTTCAATGATCATAAAAATGTATGTTTTATATAAGACATACATATACATACATATAGTTATTATAATTATAAATATACATTTTATTAAAGCTCGATGGCGTAGTGGTTAGTGCACTCGGTTTGTGGTTATACGGCGGTTATATACGGTTGTTAAACTACTTTCGCAAGGATGGGCCATAGGATTATAGGAAAGTTGAGGTTCCATAATAAATAAATATTAGACAACATGATAGGGATGATGAAGTGTAGCTAAACCCCCGTATTACGAAGTATCTTAGGCACAAGGTACTATAATACCCAGATCCGAGACAATATAGAAAAGTAATTTTCTACAAGATGGCGATACCTTGAAACCGCTCGACTACGGAGGTCGTCAATGATATTCCGTGCAGTGATCCGCTTTCTTTCTTTCGTTTTACCTTGGATTTCGTTAATTGATTTGCAAATACGACCAATTCTTCAAATGACATGGAAATATCAGCAAACACTGATGAGAATTTTGTCATAAAGTTCTGTTGGGACTGCATTTTCAAATAGGGGACAAATAAAATGGTTCAAAAAAGCGTACGCTCTGACGAAGACCTCGGTTTTCTTGCTTCATCGCAATCTTTAAAGCACATACCTCATAATAAAGAACAACCTCAACATTCTGGGCATGACCAATGGAACCCAACTCGATCCTTGAGATTACACGTAGGCCATGTTTGCTCTGGCTTTTGGTTCTAATGATGAGTTGACACATATACCATGGCGAATGTTTTAAACAGTAATTTGAAATCCTTCATTCATTATAACGCGTGGTGGTGCACGTTGCCAACCCTAAACTGTTTATCGTCCCTTCCAACAAAATTAGGCAATTTATATATTGCCAAACAATCAACTGCCAAACGGGTTTTCTACATGTTTTCAGTGTTAACGCATTCATATAGGAATGTTCCTGAGTCTTTTACAAGAAGTGTGAAGAATCAATTTTTCTGGTAAGAAAAGAGAATCAAGTGGCGAAGATGCCGCAGTGATAAGTATAGGAAGGTACTTTTGTAAATACCAATCATTAAATCCGCACAGGGTCCCCTTGTTATGCAAGGACACATTATCCATGTGTTTTTCTCCATAAAGGTGGTCATCGACTGTCTCCGTATGATACGCAACGAATTGTATGAATTTTTAAATGTCATACGTTCTTCTTCTTCTTTTTTAATTAATGGCTTATCTGCGCATATCGCACAATTTTGACAATGTCAAGCCAATAATTATGTTTTTCATGTAGAATGAAAAAAATTAGAATTTTTGTCAGTTTTGACATCGGAATTAAGTTGATAGTTTTGACATAAAGCTCTGAAAAATGTATAGTAGCTCTATGGAAGTAATCTGTATGAGGTTATCAGGATTTTAATTGCTCATATATTACATATATAAATTTATTAGTGTTATTCTATTTAAAGTAAGTTTGACGAAACTATTTCCAGCCCATGTAAAACTAATTTAGTTACGGCGTTAAATCAATAGCATCTCTATGACACTAATTCTGTCAGAATCAAAGTTTTACTATAGGCAGATAGTTTCGACACTATGCCATGCAAATCGTTGTGAAATTTGTTGCGTGACAGTTTCTAGTCGCCAAATCCAAAATGCGCATGGCATGAAAACATTATAGTGTCATGAAACTAATGCATGAATAGTGAAACTAAGCGTAAATATGCTACAATGAAACTTTTAGGCCACTAGTGTCATAATGTAAACTCTATTATATGGGATGGGCGTATATTCAGTAGTGAAAACATTTATGAAATATGAGACTAGATAAGTAGGTTTTCATAGTGAATATCCGCTAAGATTTCCCTAAATTGACGCAGGAAATGGAAATTCCACACAGGCGAAGAACTTGCAACGGCAAATTTAGCTTTCAATTTACGAGTATGTGTATTAGTGTTCCAACATGAATATAAATAATAAGAACCTAATATTAAGATAATATTAAGCTAAATAAATAAATTTAAATTTATTGTAAAAAAAGAAAGGAATTCCAAATAAACCGTCATTTAAAATTAGAAATTATAACAAACATCTATGGGTACTAATTCGGTAAACATGTTAAATCAGTTTAAATGGAAAAGGCACCGAAAAGGTACAGTTACTACCTTAAATAACAAATAAATGGATAAGTAAATACTTATTAAAATATTATTATTTTAATTTTTATACCCGTTAAATAGATTCGGTATGTTGTAACAGAAGCTGGTCGTGGGTGAGACGTCATCATTCAAAATGGCCGCCGAGTCGTACCCGGGCGCAGTGGCGCCGCCCTCGCGACCGTCCAACGATTCTTCCATTACTCACTCTTGGTCTTGAAAACTCTTCACTCTTATCTGAAATTCTTGAATTAATTACTAATCAATTTAATGTGGAAATAAGTAACTATTTTTTTTATTAATAGCTTCTAGTTAACTACTTCAAATTCAAACTATTTTTTATTATTTTATAGTAATCTTCTCTCGGTAGCTCGGTGGCGTAGTGGATAAGCGCCGCGGCCTGCGATCGTTGTCGTTAAGCAACTTTCGCAAGGGTCGGTCACGGGATGGGTGACCAAAAAATTGTTATCTCGAGCTACTCGGTTCTTCGGAAGGCACGTTAAGTCGTTGGTCCTGGCTGCATTCGCAGTCGGTAATACCCTCCAATCCGCATTGGGCCAGCGTGGAGGGTCATGGCCCATCCTCCTTAACCATCCATAAGCCCCTGCAGGGGGGACGTAAAAGGGCCGATGATGAATCTTCTCATGATAGGTCTTTGATATGGTTAGGTATTGAATGAAAGGGTTTACCTTTCATTTAATACCTAACCATATCAAAACAGAGCTCAATAAACTAACTAGCAACCAATTAGTTAGTTTTAAAATTATTATTTATGTACTCATTAAAATCAGATTGCACTATATTAGCATAGAAATATTTGATTACATTATTTCAATACCTTTAAAGTCAGTAATTAAAGGACATTTTCCAACGAGAACACACTAGTTCTGATTCTTATATACACTCGTATTAAGATTAGATATTTGAAACATTCGCATCTTTGCCGGGCTCCTGGTCACAAGTTCTAACTAAAACTTTGCTGTAGGTATCTAGTTATTTAGCTTACGAAAGTTCCTGTCGTTAAAATCATACTGAATACATGAATACCAATGAAACCACACAAAGTTATCTTAAATAACTAGTCCGTGATTTTGGTTCCAGTTTTGACGTTTACTTTTAACTTTTTGTTAAGAGGAAGGGACAGTGCATAAAGTATTCCTACTACGACAAAAAAAGGTTTACTTTTAACGAAAGTCTTATATTTTTAATTAGGAACTATATTTATGAAAATGATAGCGATGAAGGACTATAAGTTAAATGGACATTAAACTTTTATTAGTTTACAACAAAACATAAAATCCAAAAGCTTTTTTTAATCATGTGGACCAACCATACGTTTAAGAGTACGCTTAGTTTCACTATTCATGCATTGTGAAAAGTAAGCGATTTCCGAACTGAATAATTTTAGACAACTAACTTTCCGTCAGCGGTTTTGCTCATGTGCTCCCTAGGGAAGTGTTTATTTGGATATCGATTCATATCATGACGGACATAGTTACAATTACAAAGTGATTAGTGAACAATGGTTTTTATGGTAAAGTTTTAATTCCCTATACAAACTTCCACTTCCATTTTCATCCCTTTATTTGTTGTTTTTCGGGATAAAATATAGCCTATGTTCAATGCATAAGATGTAGCTTCCTGTGTAGGTTAAAAATTTAAAAAATCGGTTCAACCGTTTCGGACGTATTCGTGCAAACAAACAAACAATCAAAACTTCCTTTTTATAATATTAGTAAAGATGAACAATAATGTAAGTATTTAAAGATAGAAGTTATACAATAGTAGAAAGTTATTCTTCTATATATGTTATGTAAAAGAAAAATATTTAAGCAATCTTTAGTTTCCCGAGCCAGGGGTCGGCAACCCGCGGATCGCGAGCCGCATGCGGTTTTTTCGATATAAAACTCAATAGTTCCACCCTTTAGTTTCATTTAGAAGATTATTTTACTGTCAAAGTCGTTTAAACGTGTACTCGATCCATAGTTAATTAGCGTATAACACTAACTAGGTATAACTGAAAGAGATATTCTGAGACATTTATATCTTAAATTCAATTTGAAATAGAAATTTAATGAAAACTGCTTAAAAATCCACTTTGTCCCTGGCACTCTGAGATAGGATCGAACCTCTCACAATCCGGGAGACTGCTCTAACAACTGAGATACTCAGGACCTAATAGGACTGACGAATCTTTCAAGCACATGTTACTTTTTCGTTACTACAGAGCGTATTTTCATCAACGTTCAGGCAATCCACCCAAACAGCTGAAAGAAATATTTTAAACTTTCAATAAAGATGAAAATTTGTTCTAATTATAATATATTTGAACAATTTTGCATTCAGAATGCTATACTGGAAAATATTCATAAAGAAAAATGCTTAAAAAAAATCCACTTTGTCCCTGTCCCTTTGATATACCCTATTTCAGAGTGGACAGAGGGACATCCACTCTGTCCACTCTGAAATAGGATATATCATAGTATTGTGGGATTACGGCATTGTGAATGCAAAATTTATTAATTATAAGTGATAAGGAACAGTGGATTTTTAAAAACTGTGAAATATTTGCATAAGTTTACCGTGCCCTGACCTAAACCCGTGTCCATGTATCAAAAAATTCCGCCGGACCTATAAGGGTGATCGACCGCGCATAACTTACGTCGAGCGGCGGCAACGGGACTTAAATTGAATTAAATGTCTATAATTTAGTTAAGTTTATTAAATTACCACTAAATGAGGATAATTTGTGTCGGTTATTTCCATTCACAACGTCAAGGGGACAGTTTGGCGGGCGCGTCGCCATCGACGTCATGTTTTCGCGCCAACTTTGACAGCCCGTCAAAATTTCTGACAGTTAAAATGGCGTTAAACTGAGGGAAGTGATATTTTAATTGTGTTCTTAAATGTTTTATTGTGTTTGTAAAATATTATGATGGTAATTCTGGAAGAGGATATTTTGTATTGTTATGTTTATATAAACAATATTCAAACGGAATGTAAAGAATCCTTTTTACGTGGATGAAAATAAGGTGCTTAAAAAAATCACGAATAGTGTGAAAACAAATTTTACATTATCTTTAATCGCTATGATTTGAGATTAACAACTTAAGATGCAGTTATGTATGAAAACAAGGAAACCAAATGGCTTAAAAAACAGTTGCAGTTATTATAAATCTACTAGACAGTTAGCAAGGCATTGGCGAAGTTTTCTCGCTCCTAATAGATGAAGTTCCACCTAAATGCTTTGTTAGAAGTTTCAAGCATTTAAGGATATATGCAATTAGCTACTGATGAATAATTGGAAGAGACGGAAAAGGAACCGAATAGTTCTCTTTTTGAAAACAAATGAAACTTGAAAGTGTATGCTTAAGAATTTTACACTTTTACGAGCATATGCGATGGAAATGCTGGGTTGTGAACGGAAGATTTGATTGAAAATACATTGGCTTACAGGAGCAAACAGTTATGCTATTTTGTATAAAAAAGTCGAGAACAGGAGCTGTTACGTCATAGACCTTTAATGAAATATAATGTTTATTACCTTTTAAAGTAGGGTTTATTTGAGTGAACCTCTTTGCTGTGACAAATGCTCTACGTCGTGTTCCAAGGTGTTTTTAAAACAGAATAACACGTCATATTTGAAAACTGAAAAAATAAAATATGCAAAGAAAATTGTGGCACAATAGACAAAATCTTCTAATTTTCATAATCAGCGAAGGTCGTGCAAATTCTTTTGCCAAACAAAACTCTTCAAAATCTCCGTGCAAAGTGGAAATGATTTTTTCCCAACTGTGCCACATAAATCCTAAAATAATTCAAACAATATACGAACTAAGTGAATCGCTTAGAATATAAGTGAATTTAATATTCGATTTTGAATTATTTATATTTATAACTGTTTTTCATGTACTTTTTATAAGAATTGTTTAAATAATGTATTATTATATTGAAATTATTAATTTTCCGAAAAATAGCATATAAATTTTTCACTACACTTTGATTTCTAAATAAGTATCTTACTACGCTTATCAATCTGTTATAAAATAAATATAATATTTAGTTTTTTACAAATTGTTCTACTTCACCTACATAAATACGACTACCAAATTCTTACCGGTTAGATTAATATTTTTTCACTCACAATTCTTTCAATAAAGTAAAGTATGAAATAGTAGGAAGGATGTATCTATTGTCACGTGGTTTGTAGTACTGAACAGCGCACCTACATGATGAACCACTGTCCACACTAGAACAGGGAATGTGTGGAGTCACTAAAGCGTATTGTTGTACTATATTTTGCTTCATTCATCTGATATGTTAATGAAAATTTTAGAATAAATAGAAAAAAAAATAATATTCAATTTTAAAAAGTACCTATTTATAGAAATTATGTCTTTATATCTTTTTTGTTTTATACTATGAAGTGATGTTGCCACTAATCTAAATCTCCTACAAGTCCAAATTATCATCTTTGTTTTCCAAATAAATACTTATATCTGTCTATAAATACATTTAATTAATTAAGTTTTCTGATTTGATTACATTTTTGTGAACTTAATTAATTAAATTAACTTACTTTAATAGTACGGAAGGTCGAGACAATATATTGTTGGTCAGCAATCCTATGATCAGCCTTTGTCAAAGTTGCTTACCTTCCACATTATATCTAATCACTGCGATTTCGAGTTCTAAACGTAAGTTGTCAGAATAACTAATTTATAAAAAAATGTAAACTTAATTAATATTTTTTCTCTTCGTCTTCGAATTTATCAATGATATTTTAATGTATAATATATGTTTTATTTTTAATTAGCTGATTCCTCGCGGCTTCGCCTGTGTAAATTAAAGCCGTTATCATATATTGTAGCATATTTAACGCTAGCAAAGACAGTGATGGCGCAGTGGATAAATTCGCGGCATGCGATAATTGTTGTTAAGTAACTTTTGTCACAGGAGGGGTGATCAAAAATTATTATCTCAATCTACTCCTTGCTTCAAAAGGCACTTTAAGACCTTGGTGCCCGACTGTATCTGCAGTTGTTGCAGTTGTTGACTGCAACTCCAATCCGCATTGGGCCAGCGTGGAGGGTTCACAGCCGATCCTCCTTAACCATCTATAAGAGGGCTAGAGGCTATAAAAGGGCTGATGATGGTGATGAAACAATCAAATCTTTTCTCTTTATAATATTAGTATTAAT